AGTCGCCTGACGACGTGTCTTCCTCCTCTTCTCTGAAGACGTCCATCACATTCCTCTGCCCGCTGCCGCTCGCCTTTCCTTCCCGCTCCGCCGTGTCTTTATTCTTCCTGAACTTTAGCTTGAAGGTGTCTTTGATGCCCTTAGACAGCGACCCAAACGTGCTGGAAGCAGAAGCTTGTGGGAGGGACGACCTGGAGAGCGTGCCCTGGGCAGAAGAAAGAGTCCCAGATTCCTCCTTGCTGTAGGTCCGGGCCATCTTCGTTTGGTGCTTCTCCTGGAGCCTCTCGCACTCTTGGATCTGCCTCCTGGCATTCTTCTGAGCCTGCTCCTTCAGCCTGGTGACCTTCTTGGGGTTCGTGATGTTCTGGACGGTGGCAGCCTTGTCCAGGAGATCGACGCATTCTTTCTGCTCTCGGCTGGCAGCAGCGTCCAGCGGGGACTGTAAGTCATTGTCCAAGGCGAAGATGTTGGCGCCAAAGTTGATCAGGAACGAGACGCAGTGGGCGTGACCGTTGGAGGCCGCGTGATGGAGAGGAGTATTTCCCCAGATGTCGCATCTATCGGGATCCCCGCTAAAGAGAAAATATCAAAAATCACACGCTAAATTTTTTTTTTTCTGAACGTGAGGCCCTCCCCACAAAAAATAAAGAGCAAAATGCATGTTAATCGCACCTTGCCGTTGTTATAAGGTCATTTCTGAAAGTCCAGATACGTCCCATCCAGACGTCACCCAGCCAGAAACAGAAAGAGTCCATCTCTACCCTGGGTCTCATTTTTTTAAAGCAAGAAAATGTTTCTAAGAAACGCCCCCAAAGAGCAACCTTCATGTCTCAGCAGCCAGAATTGGGTCACGTGCCCAGGGGGGAGGAAAATAGAGCTCGCACGTTTAACCGGGATTAACGGAGTTTTGCAGGGTCGCCTAGCAGGGGGCTGATAAGAGTTTAACAACCGGCTCACCCAGGAAAACCAATCAAAGTCGCAATTAATAGCACGTGCCAATTTCTGTGATGTGACTATACCTCCCATGGCAAATTTCAAGCTACTCATGCGACATTATCGGACGTGGCATTTGGAGGGATGTGCAGTATTGCGCAGAAGACTCGAGTTGAGAAGGAAGGACTGAAAAAGCGGGGTTCGAAGAACTTTCGTGCCCGCAGTCTGTGTTTAATAAATACATCTTAATGGAATGGACGTCGATATTACACGGGGAGAAATGACCGCGTCAAACGACCGAATGGGGAAAGGCTGGGAGACCGGAGAGATGGCGCACGGTTCCGGTTTGGAGAAGGCTGACTGCTGGTGATAGGGTGGGGCGTTTGGGAAGAGGAAGTCAGGTCGCATGGCCGGAGTGGAGGACGCTGACTCCGCCCTTCCGCAGTCGCCCCCGAGGGGGAAACCTCCCCCACCACCTTGGGTTCCTCACCCCCTCCTTCCATAAAGGTGCCAAAATCCACAAGGCGCCGAAGCCAGAACATGGGGCCTTGATCCTGCTCTTACTTTACCCACCCACCCTAACATCCAGTCCATCAGAATGGATTCCGTGTCCAAACTGCCACTCAGATCCATCCACATCTCCCCGTTCCCACTGCCCTCCCCTCGTCCAGTTCATCTCTCAGTTCGACCATGAAAGCAGCCGTCAAGTTCCTCTCTGACTGCTGCACAGCTGCCTGAGCAAATCTACCAGATGGATCCCTTGCGTAAACCCAACGACAATTTCTTCCCATGCGCCTTGGATAAAGTTCAACTCCTTAACACAGTTAAGGTCATGTGTCTTATGACTTGGCTTCTCCCTATTCAAGCCACGTCCAGCCATACTCAACTTCTTCAGTGCCCAGAGTGCACAGGGCTCTCACGTGGAAAGACTCGTCCTTCATTCTTCCTCTGGCCAACTTCCTCTCATCATTCAAACGCAGCTTCAATGCAGAAGGCCTTCCCTCACCCCCAGATTACGAGAGATGCCTGCGTTATCTATTTAGTGCCCTCTGTTTCCCCCTTCGTGATGCCTAGCAGACACGATTTCATTTCTGTCTTCCTCTGTCACATGTGACCATCACGAGGACAGTAATCCTGTCTCTCTCGTTGATTACGGCATCCCCAGTGGCTCACAGAATGGCTGGCACATAAGAGATGTGAGATATGTGTCAATAAAGAGGTATTGAATTGAAATAAATTCACGTGGCTCCTATATTTACTCTTTCCTTTTTTCTTTTCTTCACTCTCGTAGGTTATAATTACCAACACTGTCTAGCCCCTCCAGGAACGAGCAGAAGAAAAGAGCCCAGTAACTCCTGCATTAGAAGGGCTGAGGGCGTGTGTGTGCATTTATGCATCTCACAGCCAGGGAGGTGATGAGGTTAAGACAGGCTGAAGGTCCCTTTTACAGCTTGTAAAGCCAGCAACTTCATCTAAGAATCATGGACTTGCCCTAGGGGCTGATAAAAGGCTGTGGGATCTTAATGGTGTAGACGAAAAGATAAAAGAAAAACACATCATTTGTTCACGTCTTAAAAGAGGGTAGAACAATGATCTCTTTTTAAAGCATCAACCATTTAAACTTCATGGGAAATATTTGTCAAGGCTCATAGTTAAAACGTCCTCCCCCACGAGGCTGATAACATGCCTCGGAGTTCAAGGTCTCTCCCCGCGCTCCCCACCCCCCGTTGCATGGCTCACAACCCCCACGGTTCCAGTTCTCTGTGCCAAGCAAGCATCTCTAGGCAGTTTTCTCCATCTCTAAAAAGCTAATTATTTAGACAGTCTAAAAAGGGCGAAGTCTTTTCGCTGACTTCCCTGCCTCTGCCTCTTGCTGCCAGTCGCCAAATCCTACCGCAAACAGTTTCCAGTAGAAACTCTTGGGGTGGACTCACCCTCTGCTGCAGATTATTTCTAGGGCTTCCAAGTTGCCATGGTAGGCGGCCAGGAGCGTGGGAGTCATGCCATCTTCATCAGAAAGATTCAGATCTCTCCTTGTGGCCTCCTTCAGAAGTTCCAGGTAGCTATCACTAGCGGCTTGGTGGTAGCGAGTGGACATTTTTCCTGCTCACCAAAGCTTGGCCAGATATCACTCCCAAGGCAGAGCGGGATGTGGGTGAAGCAGCCTTCTTACAGAGCTGGTTAATCAGTGACAAGGAAGAGTGTTACCCAGGGCAAAGCTCATTCCGGCCTGCCTCCATGGAAGGCAGCTGGAAGACTTTACGGCACTGAACTTGGACCTTTTCTTTCCGGAATGGCTATGACATTGAATATTGAGGATTGCTGTCATCATCCTGAGTGTTTTGAGGCACATTTAATTTTTTTACGCCCATTAACAGGTCTCGAGTATAATACTGGTTATCTAGGCTCAGAATGGAGAAAATAATTTCCAAAAATTTCATAACTAGCTGAGTTCACTGGGGAGATCTATTTCTTAAACTGTTTTATTGACGTATAATTTACGTACTATGAAACTCACCCATTTTAAGTATGTAAAGCAATGATCATTGGTGCATTTACAGAGTTGTGTAATCGTCACCGTCATCCAACTTTAGGACATATCTGTCACCCAGGAAGTACCTCAAGTTCATTTGTCGTCAACCCCATTCCCACCCACAGCTTGAGAACCACTAATCTGCCTCCCGGCTCTGCGGGCTGGCTTTTCATGGGCGTTCCGTATAAATGGAATCAAACGATACACAATCTTCTGTGTCCAGCTTTTTTTTTTTAGCGTCACATAATTTTTTGAGGTTCACCCATGTTATGGCATGTAATAGTACTTTCTATTTGTCACTGGGTAACGTTCTACTATACTAATATACCAAATTTTCTTACTCATTCGACAGTTGATGGATTTTTGGTCTGTTTCCACTTTTTGGTTTGATGAATAATGCTGCTATGAACATTCACATACTAAGTTTTTGCGTGGACATGTATTTTCACGTCCAAGGAATGGAATTGCTTGGGTTTTAGGGCAATTTATATGTAACTTTTTAAGGAACTGCCAAACTGTTTTCAAAAGTGACGGTGCCGTGTTACATTCTCACCAGCAATGTGCGAGGGTTCAAACGTCCCCACATCCTTGCGGCCCTTGTCATTGTCCCTCTTTTTGTTCATGGCCATCCTAGTAGGCGCAAAGTTGTGTCACTGTCCTTTTAATTTGCATTTCCCTAATGACTAATGATATCGAGCATATTTTCAAGTGCTTATGAGCTATTCCCACATCTCATACTTGAATTCTTTGCCCAATTTTTCATTGGGTTGTGTGTCTTCTTATTACTGAGCTACGGTTGTTCTTTATATGTTCCAAATATAAATCCTTTATCATATATATTTTGAATCGAATGAAAATGAAAACATAAAATATCAACATTTATAGGATGCTATTAAAACAGAGTTTAGAAGGAAATTTTGCAGTTTTTCATGCCTGTATTAGGAAAGGAGAAAGATCTCAAAGCAATAACTTAAATTTTCATCTTACTGAAAGGAGGAAAAGCGTAGAAAATTAATGTAAATAAAGAGCACAATACATAAGACTGAAAACGTAGTCCGAATCTGTTATCAAAAAATATATAAATAGACCGACTGACCAGTTGGAAGACTCAGCTTTATCTTATTTACGATAGATGCATCTAAAATATGAAACTACAGAAAGACCGAAAGCAAAAAAATGAAAAAGTTATATCAAGCAAATACTAACAAAAAATTGGTATAGTTATCTTTATCGCAAATAGTTTAAACCAAAAAAAAATAAAATAAAATAATTACTAGGATTAAAAGGAGATAATACATAACAATGAAAAGAACAATTATCCAAGAAAATATGATAGTCATAACCTTGTATGTACTTAATAACATGGCCCCAAAATAGAGAAAATGAAAATTAATAGAATTTAAAGAGTCAGAGCAAATTCACAATCATAGTGGGAGTTTTTACTGTACCCCTTAATGTTATATATCGATCAGACCAAAGATTAATAAAATATGAAAGATCTGAACACGATGAACAAGATTAGTCATATATAGAACGCTGCCCTCAATAGAAAATGCATGTTCTTTTCAAGCACACAGAGAATATTTATAAAAATTGCCCACATACTAAAGCCAGTGCCGGTCTCAACAAATATCAAATAATGGATTTCATGAAACATGTTCTCTGAAGACACTACAATAAAATTTGAACCCATCATCCTTACACAACTGATCAACTATATATATATATTTATATATATTCTCTTGTGGTATCTTTTTACCTAGTTTTCATCATCGAATGCATACTATTTTACATTGTCTTTTCTCTCTTTAACCTACCATAAATATTTTCCTGTATCGTTACAAAATATTTAATATGCTTAGACAATAGTCTACTGAATTGATGTGAGGAAGTTCTATTTTAGAAATCTGTAACTGTTTATTCCTCATCTTTTTTTTTTTTTTTGTCCAAATCTTTATTGCAAGATAAAGTATTTGCCTCCTCTGAAAAAGTACAATGCTTTCATCAGCATTTTCCTCCGAATAGCAATTAGCCCCAAGGGTCAATGTTTCTTCCTTTTTCTAGTTTCTATGAGACTAGCAATAGAAGCTATAGAAGCAGCCTGGAGGGCCACATTATTTAGCTGCAAAGAAAAAAAAATTTCTTTTCAGCCCAGACCGGAGAGAAGGAAATATCCAAACATGACTGTGGATACTTTGAGAACAAGGTAATGTTCTTCGATTCATTTTTGCACGGGCCACTTTAATTTAGGTACAATTGCATTCATTAGTGCACCGTGAAATAGAATATCATATATAAGCTGAGAGAGAGCTTCTCGAAGATGGGTTTATAGTGGAACGCTAAGTGCCGATCAAACAAGGAGTCTGGTACTAGATGAAGATGATGATGATAAAGATAATCATGAGGAGAAGGAGAACGATAAGGATGAGGAAGGAAGCAAACGAGAATTAGGACAGAGCAATTGGGGAGCAGAGAAAAAGGGTCGGGATGAAGGACAAGGAGCAGAAGGAAGTTTCTTGACTCCAGCGATACTTACAACTTGGACTTGAACCCTCCTGTGAAATGGTAAAACATCTGAGCTTTTTTTTTTTAATGGTAAAAATCCTGACACTCTGTGGCATTTCCTTGGCAAAACTTCTTCCTTGAAAGAAGAACGGATAGGGAGGGGAAGGGGTGGCAGAAGCAAACCCTTCCGAACTTGCACATCTTCCTTACCCGAGCCCTTCAAGACGAGGTTGAGAAAGAGGGTTGAACTTGGAGCTAGAAGACCTGGAGTCCAAATGATCTGGGGCAAGTTACTCCAGCTATTTGAGTCTCTATTTCTTTGTGGATGAAGCTGGGGCATGATGCTCATGACCATATCAGCATCACCTAAACTTACGGTAGTAAAGATGAAATGACATAAAATTCCTTATAAACCAAAAAGTATGATTTTATGAACTGGAAAAAAGTAGTGTAATCGTGGCTTAGTTCGCAGACAGAGACTGTAGCTCGGTAGTTGGTCTATTGTCTAATTCCCCAAAGTCCAAAGAAAGCAAAATTGGTGGCAGATGATGAAGGCAGAGATTAATGAAAACAACTGATGCGTATTTGCATGTAAGGTAGATACTAACTCCTTGCGAGGAGTCTGGATCATTGTGGATCGATCGAGTGTATGTTTCGACTGTGCTGGAGTTTAAGAATGACAAACTGCTGTTCGTAAGAACTGCGTTTCAGAAAGTAGGGAGGGCACTTGGCCCAGTGAGGCAACGACCCTGCATTGCCGTGGTGGATGACACCCTAAAACTCCCTTTGAGTAGTGCCTGGTGTGGTCAGCAGGTGAGAAGTGGCCTCACGACTCTCCTGACACCAGCACATTCAGAGATGGGGAGAAGGAACACCTCCTAGTCACCTCCTAGTCGTAAATGAGTTGCCTTAAAAAAAAAGGCTCGTTGAAGAGAATGTGACAAGCATGCATTTGAAAGAGATCCCGCTGTTCGCTTAGTAAAACATTAAGGTTCTATCGTTTCTGTAAAGGTTTTAGTTTTTCCTAACTGTGACATGAGACATCATCTCATTACGAAACAGATCTCAAAGCTGGCTGCACTGAACACACTTGTAGCCTTGTGGACTTATGCAGGTTGGTCTGATGGGCCTGGAGCCACTTGTTCAGTGACTGTCCCACGCATGGCATGGGCTGGGCCAGGTGAGGCAAGTGAAATTGATCTCTGGTGCACTACCGCCTTCACCAGCTTACCCCCATGTAGCACCCCCTCAATCCGAGCCCCCAGCTCGGGGCCTCTGTGCGGCCCCTTAACCTGCAGGAAGCCCCCGATCTGGGGCTCTCGCCTGAGCTGCCCTTCCCGAGGCCAGTCCTCATCCTCCAGAGAAAGGACAGTCCTGCAGAGCGAGTCCGAGGGCGGGGCCAGGGAAGGAGGAGAGCCACGCCCGCCTGTCACCTCTCTGCCACCGTCTCGGCGGGCCTCTCTGAGTCTCATCATAGTCTCAGCCATCGTGGTAACAAATTACCTTCGCGTTTGTAGAGAAGGTGTTGCTTCTTGGAAAATACACTGAGTAGGAGTAACTATTACTGTCCTGCTCCTGCTCAGAATCCACACCTTTTCACCATCTCCACCCCTAAAACCTGCTCATCCTGGATTTTGCTCCCTCTCCCCAATTCCACCGGGACATCACCAATTAATTCCCATAAAGAGGTCGACAACTGGCAAACACTCACTTTCTCGCCTCCCACCCTCCAGGTATTTCCCGAATCTTCCTTGATCAGAAGACTCACCGATGGTGCTTGTTAAACATGCATTCCCCCACGCCCTGCCCCCGGAGAGCCTGATGCAATGGTTTTTGGGTACAACCCAGGATTTTTTGATATCGATGAAACCCCAGGTGATCCCTTCGATGGAGGAAATTGGGAAACGCTGCTTTGCTACTATTTACAATGTCACTCCAGACACCTGTTTAATGGGGAATGGCGATTACGCCTCCAGTTAGGCCACAAAGATGACACGCAGATCAGGAACGGCAAGTGCCACCTGCCACTTGCACAGAGTTTGAGCATCTGTTACAGAACATGAGCTGCACACACCTAGGCGTCTCCAAGAGCAATGAGAGATGCTGAAAAGATATGTCGATTAGGTCTCAGAAAATCCGAGTTCTCAGTCTGGCCCTGACACTCAGTCAGAGCTTGGGCAAGTTGCTTTGCCTGTTTCCCATCTGTAATCTCCCTAGTGCTACACACTATGACATTGTTATGTAGATCGCTACTCTCTTTGACCCAGAATTTCTACTTCTAGGAATTTATCCTGAGGAACGAGGGAAATGTACAAGAATGTCCATTCTATTATTATTTATAATGATAAAAACTCGGCAGCCGTCTTAATGTCGATCATTAGGGAGAGCTTAAATACTGATTCATCTAGATAGAATACTACGTAACCTTAAAATGTCAATGGAAACTTCGTGTTTGATACGGCAGATGTCCGTGACGTGGATCGTAGTCAAAGCAGGTTACAAAACATAGCTTAAACTTTGATTCCAGGTGGCGGCTGTTTTGAGTGCATATGGCGTTTGTAGAAAGAAATCCATAAAGTTACCTAAATATTAGCAGTGGCGAGATTGTGGGTAACTTTTTCCCTTTTTCTATAGCCTTCTGTAATCGGCTGCGTGTTTGTTTGTTTGTTTGTTTCCCAGTAAGCTTAAAACTCATACTTGGGAGGAAATAATGCTTCATCCATTTTTTAAAGGTAATTTTCCACGCACGCTGTCAGGGTGCTGTCCACAATAGCCAGGAGACTAGGGGTGACTTAAAGGAAAGAGGTGCTGCTTAAAGATGATAAGAAAAAGAGATGTTCTTGCCTCAATAAAGCCCGTCACCGTCTTTCCTTCTGCATTGAAGCTGAGGATGCATTTTGTAGAGAGGATGCTAATTTTCCCCAGTCTTATGGAGAAGAACACCAATTCATTCATCTGGAGCCAATTTCAGGGAACTCGGCTTTCCCGGCGGCCCTCAGAGCAGCTGGTGGAAACGCGCAAAGGCAGGTGCCAGGAAGGGCCTAACTCTGCTTCCCGCGGGCCTTCCAGAAAGCCTCTCCTTCCCCAGTCCCACGCTCTCAGCTGGAGGGGCTGGAGAAAATGCAGGTGTCTCCAATGGGAAGAGGGCGGGGTCCTGTCTGGCTTCCTGCTCTAAAAGCGCAGAGCGACCGGCCTCTCTACCTGACTGATTTGGTGGTGCCTTGGGCCATGGCGAGCCGGCAGCGAGGAGGTGGTGGGGGTCCCTCGGGCTGCTTCAGGTGAGTAACTTGCGGGCAGAGGGAGGGATGCAATGGCCTTGCCGGCTTAAGCTCACTCATTCTTAACGCCACCCCATCCGCTTCCAGCACCTACTGGCCACTTTCTCTCTTCCTCGCACTCGTGACTTCGGTGAACTCAGTAGACGTTGCTCAGCTGGGGACTTCTGCCTTCTCAGGTAGGGCTCTGGGGTGAGGGAAATGCCCTCGGCATCCTCCGGCAGGTCGTAGCTAAGGGGCCCAGGTGGCCAGGAAGCACACACCTGGGGCCAGACAATCTCCGCTCTCCCTCTTTCTTGCCTTGATCGAGTCACTAGATTTTTCCATTGCTTACCTGAGGCTGGCCACACGAGCTAAACCACGGAGCTCGCAGAAACACCTGCACGCCTTCCTCACCGCCTCGAGCGTGGTGGCATTTAAAGAACAAAAGCCACAACACCACGTCCCCCTCTCTGGCAGCCGTGTCTTCAAACACAAACTCATGCCTAAGGACATCATCACCATAACAGGCAAAACCGGCCTGCTCGCTTGAAATGAGGAGTTATTTAAAACTCACCTGAGCCCGAGGATGCAGTGACAGGCAGAATTTGGCTTTAAAAGTGTCCTTGGGCTTCCCTATGATGTTTTTTTTAAAAACAAACAAGCAAACAAAACATCAAATTGAAGAATCTTTAAAGAAAACTTTCATTCTCTGCTTCTTCAAAGACCCCCCATCCCTACCTCCATCGGCATCGCTGTCAAGGTCCCCCACCTGGTTCCTGCATGCACGTGTGTCGACCCTACCCCGCCTACCCCTAGCTCCCTGGAAAGCCCCGCCCTGGGCCTTGACTGACACCTTCCTCACAGTTCTTTCCCACCAATTTGCGAGCTCGCTGAGGATGGGGGACGAGCTTCGCCTCTGCCGACTGGCGTCCTCCTCCGGCCCCGCTGCCCGCTCCTGCAGGGACCAGGCCTCCTGTCGTTCAGAGGCCCCTAATGCTTCCTTTGTTCTTCAGGTACTGTCACTTGCCATAAAGACAGAATGACGGTGGAGTTTTCAAGAAATCTTGGCATCAAGAAATGGCATGCGTCTCTAATGGGTAGGTGATGCGTATACTCTAATCCCGGTCTTAGCAGAAAGCCCTTGGCGCAAGGCCAGCCCCACTTTTCCAGTGAGCAGAGTACACACACTCTGAAGCAACTGGCCTCCAGTCCCCACGATGCCACAGGGGGGCCTGATTTGCAGTGATGCCACCAAGAGTGGAAGACTGTCTTTCTCTTATCTCAGAATCCCCTGGGAAATTTTTAGCTGCAAATCCTAGCCTCTCTCAAAGCTTGGCTCATATCGTCTGGTTGGGACAATAAAAAATGAAGTAATCGAAAGACCTTAGGCATGGATTGGTATAGTCTCTTTGGTTGACTGTCACTGAAATGTACTTCTTGGCCATTCCCTGTCTACTCTGCGTCTGTAGATCCCTTTGGTCTTGAAATGCTGAATTGCACTTATGACCTGGACCCAGAAAAGCTCACCCTGAGGGCCCCATATGAGACCTGTACCAGGAGAGTGGTAAGTCACGGCTCTGACAAGGGACTTGGGAAGGAGTGAGCTCGTAGTCACTAACGGCAACCTGGTAGTTAAGGACACAGGCTTGGGAGTCGAATGGCGGTTCCCAACCTGGGGTGACTTTTTTTTTTGTCTGCCCTGGGGACACTTGGCAATGTTTGGGGACACTTTTGGAGACATCCTCGGTGGAGCGGGGGGAGGCCGCTACTGGCATCTCGTGGGCACTAAGCCAAGGATGCTAACTCACTTACATTGCACAGGGTGGCCCCCAGTGACGCAGAATGCTCAGGCCTGAAGTGCCAGTGACGCTGAGGTTGAGAAGCCATGGAGCTGAGGCCTTGGGCTTGAGCCCTGGCTCTGCCACTATCTAGCTGTGACCCTGGGCAAGTCAGCCAACCTTTCTAAGCCTCTGCTTTCCCATTGCAAAATGGGGGTTATGGTACCCTCTCCACATACGATAATCATTATATCCAAAAACTAATGACACAATGGGGGAGAAGGGCTCAATTGCTCGAGCATGAGCTATTTTGATCTGTGACCCCCGTGGGAAACAGGAAGCTATTTGGGTGCTGGCAGAGAGAACCTCCACGCGTTAGTAACAGGTGCTGGGCACCAAGCAGCAGCTAAGCAACAGTTCTGCCCAATCAAGTTTATTGGGGGCAGTAAAAGCAACCTCTCTAAGCGGAAGTTCTCAAGGTTGATTATGCAAGGAATCAGTTGGGGAACTCGTAAAGTACAGACTTAGTTCATTTAGTTGATGACTTAGTAGGTCTGGGGTACATCCTAGAAAACTGCGCTAAGGCCACTTCATCTGATTCTGCAGTGTAGACCTCCGGTGATTACCCTTTTCCCTTCTGGCACAGGCCCTCTGCGTTTCAGGGAAGTTGCATTCCTTTAGGTCAGAGGTCTGCAAACTACACCCAGCCCATGGCGCATGCGCACATGTGTGTGTGAGATGGTTCTTGAGCTCGGGATGGAATTGTTTTTAAAGAGTACCCCTTAGAAATAATACGTGGCCTATAAAATCTAAAACATCTACTAACACTTAACAGAAAAAGGTAGTCCAACCCCTGCTTTCCACTGAGGTCCCTAAGCCGGGGGAAGTATCAAAGATGGCTCTGCCCAAGGCAGCTACGTAGGTGCTCCGTGAATGACTGCGAGAGGCTCCCACCCAGCCAGGACCATACTATGCAGACACAGGGTAAATTCGAAAAGAAGATAAAAACTGAACTCCAATCCCTGAAGCTCAAGGAACTGCCATTTAAATCCTTTCTGGGATATCGAAAAGGGCTACCTATAGTCTCCTGGTATAGGAATGAGGAATCTTCCAGAACCTGCAGTCCTGGTAACTGCAGGGGTTTTGCCACTCAGCGGGGTCAGATGGTATCCTGGAGATGCCTTTCCCATCGAGGTCCCAGCATTTCTGCTTTTACTATGTTATCTGTACGCAGCTCGGCCAGCACCAGATGACCGTCAGGTTCACGGACACCAGCGCTGCCGTAAGGCCGAAGGCTTCCACGTACCAGGTCAGCTGTCCCGCTGTGCTAGCCGGAGCCCACGAGCACCCGGGGTCCACCCTCTGCGCGGAGGACTTCATGTCTGTGAGTGAGGCAGGCTGGCTGCTGCCCCTGCAGCCGCTGCAGGCGAAGCGCGGGGCGAGGCAGGGCCAGGCTGGGGAGCAGGGCCGCAGGCCTGTATCCACTGCCTATCGGTGGCGTGGCTTCGGATCGATTGCTTACGCACACTGAGCCTTGGCTTCCAAGGTGGCGGGCAGTGGGGGCAGATAACACTTCCAACACAGGGTGGCCATCACCTACGTACAGTGCTCAGCACATCACGCCTGGCGATTAGTGACTTCACTGTTGGCTGCGATCACACTAATAACCACTTGACGAACCGAACACCTGTCACGTGCCAGCCCGATGCCAGGACGCAGTAACGAGTAGAACAGCTCAGTCCCACACGCATGGGTTTTATAGTCCAGCACAGCTACCATCGGGTATGGACGGATGAAAGAGATGGTCACCCCGGGTTATAACAGTAGAACTGCACGGCTTGACCTCGCACTTGACTATGGACCTAGGAAGGAGCCGTGCGTTTAGGAATTGAGTGTCCGAACTCACAGCGGGAGGGAGCTTAGGTCTTCGATCGCCCTTTGTTCTCAGCTCAGAGGTGAGAGGGCCTGCGAGGGTGCAGGCAGGATTTGCACCTGGTCTCTCTCGTCCCGCCAGAGCCCACAACTGGGCCTCTTGCCGTGAGAACGACACAGCAGTCGCCCAGGTGTCCTCTGCATACCGTCAGGTGGCATGACGCAAACTCTCCTCCAAATCGGAGCCTCACAGCATGATTTTTTTCCCTTCCAGTTTACCTTTCAGGTGTCTCCTGGGATGGCGGACGTGAATACGGTACGAAAGCAAGTTTTTAAATTACAGACCTAAGTAAACTTTTTTTCTTTATTAAAATGACATAACCTCAGTCCTGATTAAAACGTTAAATAATGACAACAGTCCTGGGGTCCAGGGGAGTACCAGTTCTCTTTATGCAGCTTCAGGAGCTCCGGTATGAGCTCGGGTGGAGCATCGAGGTCGGTGATGGTGCCAGAGCTCAAACCCTGACGCTTCGCGAGGCCATGACACAAGGATACAGTCTCCTGATAGACGGCCCCAAGATGACCATCCAAGTGTCGTTCAATGCCACCGGAGTGACTCGCTACTCGGTAGGTGTGAATCTTTTTGTACCGTCGCTCGGGCACAGACCGATATTTTTAAATCCGAGCATGATCTCGACCATGCTTTCAAATTGAGACTACAACTCATTCAACGGGTATCTTAATGCCGACTACATGCCAAGCTCTGTACTGAGTGCTAAAGATGCAATGGCGACAGAATAGTACTGTCCTTCCTTCAACCTTTTCTCTTCTTCCTCACAGACCTAAAGCTAGTACGTAATGCAGAGCTGGGGCGCTGTTAATGTCCTCTATGGATCACGGTGTTCAGTTTATCATTGTCCTATGTGGGTCTTAGTGCTTTTTAGACTGACAATCAAGATCCACTGTCAAATGCGCCAAAGTACGTAGACAAGTCTTGGCACCCAAGTGATCAAAATGTCAGCCGTTTTCATAAGAACAGTCCTGTTACGCACTGAGTGTAAACAGATGTAAACATTCTCTCTGAATGATAGCATAAAATAGCCATAAAACACAAGCAGTTTTGCTCATATCTGCCCAGAAATGATCGGTTACAGGTCACAACAGACAACCCCAGCTTGCCAGGTGTTATGAAGACAAGATTTTAAAACTAGAGCACTGAGCCTAATGATCATCGGACAAAATGCCTACATTATATTTGGGCCAAGATGGTGCCCAGTACTTGAGTATGTGCTTTCCTGACGATTCTTCTAACGTTGTTTAGAAATTCAATTACACTTACGTCTTTTCAAATGCCTCTCCCTCCACTTCACCCCCAGCAAGGGAATAACCATCTCTACACGGTGCCTCTGAAGCTTATCCATGTAATTCTTGGACAAAAGACCATCTTATCATCCCAAGTGACTTGTATGTCAGGTAAGGCCCCAAGAAGGGGCAAGTTGTGGGAGCCATTGTTCCGGGGGCTTAATTATGCTGACCACGGGTGTGCTGTCATCTCTTCTAGGTCCTGTGACCTGTAATGCCACACATATGACTCTCACCATACCAGAGTTTCCCGGGAAGTTAAAATCCGTGAGCTTCGAAAACCGGAACATTCCCGTGAGCCAGCTGCACAAGAACGGGGTTGACGTAGAAGCAAGAAATGGCTTGAAACTGCACTTCAGCAAAATTCTTCTCAAAATGAAAGTATGTCCCACTATCAGCTGCTGAGCCTTGTGAAAGCCTGACTTGAAGCATAGTCGTTTAGGTCATCCCCATACAGCCGAGGACTTGTCCGTACGTTTTAACTGCCAGTGTAATAGATCCAAACTTTGGAGGGCCTCATGCGATCACTTTGCATCGGTGAATTCCCTAGTAACTGAAATTCACTTGCAAACACCAAGCCTCTTTAACCTCTGCAGTGGAAGCTTTCCTAAGTCTTCCTCAGCTCACCGAATAGCACAAACTGTTTCTGAGTTTCTAATGATAAATCTCTCATGTGCTACTAAAAACAAGACAACTTGATCCAAACAACCGCCAGGGACAGACACCAGGGAGTAGTCTTGTGTCAGGGTATTCGTGTTTTTTGCAATGACATAACATTTGTAGAGTCCTCTTGTCTCAAACCTGGCTCGGCAGGGAGCTCTGCTCCCCTTCGGAACCAGATCTGTTCATTCAAGCTCTCTGCAGTGCTGGGTGCCGAAGGGCATGAGATTAAAGCACTAGGTTTCCTGCCTAGCGCAGCATGCTGATCTGCAGGGCTGACCGGGGTCTCTCTCGTCTGGGCGCAGCATGCTGATCTGCAGGGCTGACCGGGGTCTCTCCCGTTTGGGCTTAAAGGGAATCCAGGTCAAGTCTGGAGCGCACCCTGCCGCGTTCCGTGTACTTCCTTCCTGCCCGCCGCTGGGTGCTAACTGGCATGATTCTCTCGTTCCAGTTCTCGGAAAAATGCCTACCCTATCAGTTCTACTTAGCTTCACTCCAGCTGACCTTTTTCTTTCAACGGGAGATAGCATCCATGGTGCTCTTTCCTGAGTGTCTCTGCGAGTCACCAGTTACCATAGGTAAGGACCCCTTTGAAAAAAGTGGTTTCTGCATTGTTTTTCCCTTAGCCCTCCTTGTGCACGTGGTAAAGTAGATGGAAGTCCACTTCGAGGACACCAAAGACTAGTCAGATCAGAAACTGCCCAGTCGTTATAATAGGGCCCTAAGGAAGACGAGATTTCCAAAAGACACACGCAGGTAGACGTCACTACAATGGTTTCATGTTCAACCTGGATACATTTTGTGTTAGGAGCCTGAACCCATCCCTTGCCCCGCCCCCCCCCATCTAAATCTGCTTTAAATCTGTAACGAGAGAGACTACAAAAATTTAAGATTCCCCCCAAACTCCTGCCGATTCCTCAAAAAAATACAGAGTGGGTATCTCCTCTCGTTCGGTATTGCCTCGGCCCTTGAGATTTTGTTGTTCACCGATCTGTATCAGGACTGGACAAATAAGAGAAATTAGTTCCTGCCTCAATTTCTCCCTCAAACACTCAGGATTTGAGTCTTGAAAGAAAGGACATAGGGATACAAGGCACTACACTTCAAGCCATGAATAATCGGACTCTTAAATCACTTCGACCCCTCATCAGGCTCTTTCCAGGGGTGTCCTAATGCACACGGCGTTTCTTCCCGCAGCTCTGTTCCCTCTTCCTTTGGCCCCAAAAATCCTTCTGTTCTCACAGAGCAGCCTCACTGCTCTCCAGACACCTGCTGTCTCCCCTTGTCACTCGAGCTACTTATCAAGGTATTTTTCACCACTGTCTGATCCCAGGTAAGCTGTGTACTCGGGATGGGTTCATGGACATCCAAGTCTACAGCCACCAAACGAGACCAGCCCTGGACTTGAACACCCTCAGGCTCAGGGACGCGTCCTGCCGGCCTGCCTTCGAAGCCGCATCTCGGGGGCCGGCGCGGTTCCACATACCCCTGAATGGATGTGGGACGAGACACGAGGTTAGTGCTGGCACAGCAGACGGCAAGACGGCGAGGCTTAGCTTCGAGGTAACTGGTAAACCACTCTCTCTAACCTTTCTCCGACTCAAAGGTCAAGGATGACAAAATCATCTATGAAAACGAAATACACGCTCTCTGGGAAGATCTTCCTCCAAGCACGATTTCCAGAGATAGCGAATTCAGGTGTGATACGATCGCTACTTGACTTTCAGGCTCCAGATTAAATCTAAGCAGTCGTTTAACCTAAAATTCTCTGTATCCCCACGTCCAACGACTCTTACAGAATGACGGTGAAGTGCTCTTACAGCTGGGATGACGTACTAACAAATAGCAGTGTCCAAAGCGTCCCCCCTCCAGGGGCCTTAGTGAAGCCGGGTCCACTTGCCCTGAGCCTGCAGACCTACCCAGGTGAGACATCTCGACCTACAAAATCTGCTTAAATATTTCCGGGAGTTCTGCCCTAAAAGGAACATTTCGATGCTGCCAGACCAATGGAGTTGGCAGCGATGCTTAAGCTCCCGCTGGGACCGTCAGGAACTTCCGTCCTGAAGAGGTTTCTCTTCCATTTCAGATAACTCCTACCTGCGACCTTACGCGGACAAGGAGTACCCTGTGGTGAGATACCTCCGCCAGCCCATCTACCTGGAAGTGAGGGTCCTAAATAGGACGGACCCCAACATCAAGCTGGTCTTGGACGTCTGCTGGGCAACGCCCACCAGGGACCCGGCCTCTCTCCCCCGCTGGAATGTCATCGTGGATGGGTAGGTGTTCGCCACGCATAAGGTAGCCCGGCCGATCCATCAAATGGCCAGTGAAGAGACCATGAAACCCTCTTGAGCTCTGGAAGAACACTGTCACAAAGGCCCCGATTTTGTTCCGGCTTCTCAGGAACCAGGTGCCTTGTAAGGTGCCTCTTGCCTTCCGATGGGAAAACAGTGGGAATCTAAAACAATGAGATGTTTCCAAGGAAGTCTGGCTCTGATATCCTCCATCTGGAGAGAAAATAGAGCTCAGGTTTCCATTTATTGACTAGCTAGGTGGGCCACGTGATTTTGACCCTCATCATTCCATGAGACACTAGCCACCTCACTTCATGAGGAAGAAACCCAAGCTGGCTGCCTAAAGAACTAGCCCCAAAGTGATACCCGGTGAACGGCGGGACCGGAAGCCCGGTGGGCTCTGGGCCTGCGCGCCGCAGTCCTCCGGCTGACTGCGCGCACGCATGCGTGGTTTGTCCTTCGGCTCTGCCTGCAGGGCTCTGGGCCTAGATGGGACTGTACCTCGTCTTCCTCAGAGCTGTCGTCTGTTGCTAAGCTTTTAACCTCCAGGTACACGCCTGCCCCAAGACCACGTGTGGCCGGTGCCTCGTGCAGCTCCTCCACTCCATGCGTCCCCTTCTCCATGACATTCCCCGCCCCCGGCCCTCTCAGCCTGGTCTAAGTCTCATTAGTAACAACCACCTAACATACTTTCTTTAGAGCTGTCAACCTCTGCTAGCATCTAAGATACAGCATGACAGGAGGTCTCTATTTCTTTCTTTCTTTTGTTCTTTTGTCTCTGACATATACTTAACTGCCTGGGACATAAGAGGTACTCAGAGTAGTAAGAAGAAATAAGCCAGTAGCATCTGAAGACACACATACAAAAGTTGTAGCTCTTGATGAATTTAGCCAGCATACAAATAGGTACTTAAATCGTATGAATGCAATTGTAACAATAGGGGGAAAAGCTAATATGTACGACTTGTGACTTCATGAATATTATTGGAGAAGCCAAGTCAAATCTATGAAAAGGTCCAGCAATAGTCCTGAGGGTGCTGCACGTGACTGAATCTGGGCAAACACGGGCTCAACTCTGGGGCGAGTGTGGCTGACGCCCTCCCTGGTCTGTGTCCCCCTAGCTGTGAGTACAACCTGGACAGCACCCGAACCACCTTCCATGCCGTGGGCCCCTCCGTGGCCTTCCCCAGCCACTACCGGCGGTTCGACGTGAAGACCTTTGCGTTCCTCTCGGAGGCCCGAGCGCCCTCCAGCCTGGTAAGCGATCGACAAGTCGCCTGCGCCCGGTCGCGTGTGAGTGCGCAGCGTCCACCTGACTGTCCCTCCGTCCGCAGGTCCACTTCCACTGCAGCGCCCTGATCTGCAACCAGCTTTCTCCTGATTCCCCACTGTGTTCTCTGACTTGCCCTGTGTCATCTAGAAGCAGGCGAGGTAAAAACGTCAAGTCCCCATGACCATGAGTTTACTCGGAACAAGCCTCATTCTTCCGAATTGAAATGGGGACGAGAGCCTCCTTCCCTACCCAGTCCCCAGAGCCCCGGAGACCTTCGCCCAGGCCGCCCTGCCTAGAGTCTGACGCGGGCAGGCTGGGGGTCAGTCCTGCGGACACCTTCCATCTTTTGCAGACTTGACTCAAACGTTGCTCTTCCTGAGTCTACGTAGACTCGGAACTTAAGATTCTCTGAATATTCTTTGGGGCCTCATCCTGTCCCTATAGTATGGTGCATGCTCTGTCCTGCAAAGGCAGGAGGAACAGGGTTGCCATGGAGATCTGCTCGAGGAAGTCCATGGACACACCTTTTGCCAAGACTCCCTTATTGCGGAGGTCAAACCTTATGACCTGTCTCCAGCCGCAGGGGCCACTGTGGAAGAGAAAACGGTCAGCCTCCCGGGACCCATTCTCCTGTTGCCGGACGGCTCTTCAGTCAGAGGTACGGATTTAAAGCCCGGGGTAGTTCACGGACTCAAGTTCATGGCTTTGTGTCGAATGTAATTATGCATAAATAACACACGCTCATCACAAACCTGGACAAGCAGAAAGGACGGTCTCTCTTCCTAGGGCCAGCTGCGGCTAAGACTCTGGTGCGTCCTTCTCCAGACCCCCTTTCAACACAAGTGGGATCGTGTGTCCTGTCACTTGCCCTTTTAAACACGTGGTTTAGCCAACTTCTGTCTGTATAGAGACCAACCTCGCTGTTAACAGCTAAATAGGGTTCCATCTAGGTCGCTTCTAGTTTTGGCCCTGAGGCCACGCTGGAACCCCCTGAAGCCTTTGCCCGTCATGTGAGAACGTCAGGATCTGTCTCTAGAGGGAGGACCGATAGGTCAGAAGGCCGGTGCCTCACTGCCACCAAACTTAACTTTTTCCTCTGACTATCCGATAACCTCATCCCAGATGGTCTTAATTTGGGGCCTAGAATTTGAAATTAAGCTGTCTTAAACCCTCACCTACTGACCCGCAAGAGATCACACCCTCGGGACAGCTAACCACATGTGTGGGTGCCAGGATGCTGAGTTAAACAGGCTGAGGCTGTAAGGTACTTTCCAGGTGTCAGAAACTGACATTAGGTCAGTAAAAGCAAGTGGGGCGCGGGATGGCGGGGAGCCCGGGAGGGGGAGGTCGGCTCACAAGGTAAGACTGTACCCAGATGTGAACTCCCCAAAAGAGTCTTTTCAGGCCTCGTTTCCCTCTTTCTCTGGGGAGCCTTTGATGTAAAACTTCAGCTTCAACTGACGCTTAGGATTTAAATGTGACCTTAAGACCTGCCCGTCTGCTTCCTTCCAGACGTCGTCCGCTCCGACGGGCACGGGACCGCTGGATACGCCGCTTTCTACATCACGGCTGCCGTGCTGGCCCTGGCAGGTGTCGCGGCGTCTCTAGGCCTCACCCATTACCTGTGCAAGAAAAGAACCGTGATGGTAAATCACTGACTGGATTTTCAAATAAAGCGGTTGAAGTGAGCCTCTTGCTTCTGTGTCATTAAGACTGAATGAAGTTCAAAGACTGTTTCCTGCGGCCTTTCTTCTTTAGAGGGAACCTGGCACCTTCCCACCACCCTCGGGACGGGCTTTGGTCTGTGTGGATGTGGATAAGGAAATTTATGACTTCCTTGTTTCCTGTCACTTAGCTTTTGATAACACTGGCAGTGCCACAGAATTCAGTCCGCAGTGGGGCTTAGCTATAGCCCACTCCTGGGGCTGTGTAGGTGACACCAATGCCTTTTTCCCCCCTGTTATTTATAAGATGGGGAGGGGGCAGGAAGCCCCCCTAATTGTTGGCATAATTTCCCTTTTCTGTAAAGGGGAGGAAACGGGTCTTCCTGAGGCAGTGATCTAGTATCCTTCTTAGGAACTATCTCCCAGCTCGGGTTACTTTCAAGTAAGTAGACAGCTTTTCCTGAGAACTTAGGGATTGAGTCTCTGGGCTCCGCGGACTCCTTCCCACTCCTACGCTTGCTCACTACCTCCTCCTGAGACTTCGCCGAGGGTGCCCCATCCTGTGCTGGGCTACAAGTCTATGCTGTCAAGTCTATGTGTCCGCTTCATGCTGTAGCCCTCACGGACCACATTCAAGATATCTCACATAAAACAAATTCACTCGCGTCCTGCAACTAGAACAGCTCTGGATCTAAACCGGAGCTTTCGCTAGGACCAAAAGCTGTGAAGTGTTTAAATCTCTACGTGGCAGGGAGGTGAAGATAGATGGAAATATGGAAGTCTTCAGTGCTGGGGATTCTTTTCAGCCCTTAACCGTGAGTGGTCATATTCGTGGGTTTTTCAAAATCTAACCTTCTCAACGAAAGAAGTGTGTGTCTACTTGGTCATCGTGCGACACTGCAGGGTTTTAATATTGGATCCTTTGGCCTTATCTTCCAGCATGGCCTTTCCTTTCAAATCCTTTCGTTGGATTTATATGGTAACACTGAACCCTGATGGGGGGAAGGAAACAACTACATTTACACTGTGTGAAAGGTCTGGTCTTTCCGGAGTCAGGGTCAAAAGTTCAAGTCGTCTCAAGTTCAAGGCCATTCTCTGGGGGTTGCTTTGTGAGAGAATGAGGCATTCTGCTAATGATGCAGCAAGAAATGGGCTTGTAGTCACACAGGAAAGTTTGAATCCGTGTTAGAGTTATATGCTAGAGCCAGAAACACCGCATCTGCTGTTCATCTTAAAATGGAATTTAGAGAAATGTTGGCTCTCAATCGGCTTTCTGGCTATGCGGTAGCCTGGTCATGACCCGCCCCCCCATCCCGATTCCCACCAATCGAATGCTCTTACCTTTCCATGGCCCCGAATGGACTTTGCAGATGAGTCTCGACATGGGGACACTATCCACGTGGGCTCATTCACGAGGGTCCTTCTAAAACAGGCAGGAGGCTCAGGGTCAAAGAGGTCCCTGTGGAAGCAGAAGTCACAGCGATGGGTCCACAAGCCAGTGGATGCAGACAGCATCTGACAGCTGGGGAAGGAAGGATGTGGGCTCTGCCCCGGCTCCTCCAGAAGGCGCACAGACAGCTCTGCTGCTGCAGTTTGGACTTCTGACTTCCAGAATTGTAAAATAATCTTTTTTTTTTTTAAGCCTGTAAATGTGTTCTTTGTTACAGTAGCAGTAGAAAGCTGATACGCCCTCTACCGGGTCACCACCCACAACTTGCAAAACACTTGCTAGAAACACTCATTTGATAGATGAGCATCTTGAGCCCCGGTCTCATCCAAGTTGGTCTGTTTGTGTAGAGTCACAGGTCGGGATCGGGGTGACCTGGACCCCAAGGCTACCCCACAGTGAGACCCAGTTCTGATGTGTTTGCCACAAACGCTGAGCCAGAACTCGGAGCGACAAGCTGAGCTGACTGTGGAGCAGCTGCTGGGGTGAACGCTAGTTGCCATGGTCACCTGGGGCAAATAAAAGGCATGGCGATTAAAGGCGCGTTCTCAACTTCTAGGGTACCCGGGGGAGGCAGCCTGATCGGCAGAGAGGAACCGTGTGGGAGGAGGCTGAGCTCCAATGCTGCCTCCTCACCCAGACTAGGGTGCAGGCTCCCTCGTTAGGATTAATAGCCAAATTTCTCTGAACCAAAAATAAGAATAGCTTTTGTTAAATTTGTTTCACTTTGGCTCCCTCAGGACCCAAGAGGACCAGATTCTGGTTCTGTTCAGCCTTGAATTCTCACTGGTACTTCTGCAAGGAAAGTGATTTGCCCCAAAATGTAGCTCAAAGAAGCTTGATTCAAAGGAGCTGGTGGTGCTTACTTCTCACCAGACTTAGGGACCCTGCTCCCACCCTCCCTTCGGGGTCAGAGGGGCAGGGAAAGTGTCATGAGGCCGGCAGCGGGCGCTGGAGGCCTGGGTTCCAGCCCGGCACTGCAGACTTACAGCGTGGTCCAGAGTCAGCAGTTGTCCCTCTCTGGGCCTCAGGTGTGTCATCCGCAGGAGAGGACTGGCCAGGGCATCTATCACCTTGCCACTCGAAATGTGGTCCATGGAAGGTTTCACCTGGGAGTTGGTAAACAGTGCAGAAACTCAGGTCCTGCTCCAGACCTACGGACGCAGAATCTGCCTCCGACCACCCCACGTATGTATGCACTGTACAGTTCAAGAAGCACAAGTCAAAGAAACTTTCCAGCTCAGGGCTGTGGCCGCAGCCCGGGCAGCTTATCGCCCGGACGTGAGCGCCCTCTGCTGGCTCAGAAATGAAGCACTTTCTCTAGGAAGTTGGCGTTCCATTTCCTTCTGCGGGCTTCCCAAGGTTTCCGAATGAAGCTGGAAGCTCCGGCACCTACCGTGGGGCGCAGGACTGGAGAACGTGCACCCGGCCTTGAGTTTTGGAAAGCCAATCCACATCTCCAGCCTGGAAGGGCCTCTCCCTCCCAATGTCCCCACAGTCTACTCTCCCAGCATCTCATCCCTGTCACTTCTGCTTTAATGAAAGGCAGCAGAGAGTGGGGGAACAGGCCAGTGACAAGGTTCTCGTGGTTTATTCACGAGCCAGCTCTGGGACCTTTGGCAGATGACTTGCTATTAGCCCCATTTCCTCTTCTGCCAGTTGAAAGTCGGGCACGCAGGTGACAACGGCAGGACCTCTCAGGACCGTTATAAAAGGTCAGGGGTGGCAAGGGATGGGGAAGCTTTTTGAAAACCTGACCTATCTCACAAATGCGTTTTCATGATACACTAGGAGAACTGGCTGCTCTGGCGCACACCTGGCCACGCCCAGCCCCCAGACCCCCCACCCCAGTCCAGCTCTGCTGTTGCTCGGCCTGGGGCTCTGAATTCTCACTATTTGTCTAGATGAGGGTTTCCCGTCCTCAGAACTGTTGACATTTGGGCCTGGATCATTCTTCGATGTAGGGGGCCGTCCTGTGCATTGCAGGACGTCGAGCAGCATCCCTGGCCTCGACCCACTGGATGCCAGCAGCACCCCTCACCCAAACACACACAGCGGTGACGATGGAGAATGCCTCCAGACACGGCCAAATATCCCCGGGGCAGAGGCGGGTGGCGACATCACCTCCAGTTGAGACCTGCTGTCGATCTAGTCTCCTCGGTCTTTCCAGTCAACAGTAAACATTATCCAGAGGCTTCTACGTACAACATTCTGGGCCGCCTGAAAGAAAAGACACAGACACTGTTTCCGGCCCCAGAGCACAGGCTGAGACAGGGCGGAGGGGCAGGGAGGCCGGATAGATATACGGGGAGTAATGGCAAACACGACACGACCTGGTCAAGAAAAGCTTCAATTGTTCTAACGTTTCGTAGCACTTTCATAATTTAGAGAGCATGGGCCTCAATCTCCCGACGACCTGGGTTCTCGTTACAGATGGAAGACATCGAAGCGCAGGCAGGTTGTCGTCACCCGCTCATTATGTGTGGCCCTCAAGGGCTGTGGGTGCAGAGACGGTGCGCGCGAGCCAGCCGGCTGGGGCGTGGAAGGTGGGGCGTTTGGAATGAGAGGCGTGGTGGCAGATGTGGCAGCATCCGTGGTTTCCAACGTTCCCACCAAACACGATGGATAATATTCACTACAACGATGTATGCGAGAGGCGTTCCAGATTTGCATGCACATCATCCCCACCTCCTTACTTTCTCCCAGGGAGACAAAGAAAACGCTTGGATAATTCATAACTGCCACGACTCACCGAATCACTCAGGGTGTGTATGTGTGTGTGTGCGCACTCACGTTTGCTCAGGGCACGCGCGTGCGCACACACACATGTGTTGTGGGGGTTGCTGTGGCACAGGTAAGACAATGCAAGTTATTCTCAAGTTCCACCCGCTTTCTCCAGAGCTCCACCTCTCCTCTCCTGCCGGAGGATGCACAATAAGCCCCAAAGGCAGGAGGAGGCGTTAACACTCAGCAGCTCGCTAGTTACAAGGATGGGCTTGCGGTCGGGCAGATTGGGGCTGAAATCCCACCTCTGCTTCCGGGCGCCCTCTCAACCTTAAAGTTTCCTCATCTCTAAAATTCTTGGCAGCGAAAACAGGCTGGAAATGCATACAGATGTGTCTAGGGTTTAAATAGCACCGGGCACGTGGCAAATGCTCAAAACAAACACGTAGACATATTGATCATTTAACATTCAACCCTATTAAAAAAGTTACAGTTGTCATGCTCTGAAGATCCATTGTCTTTCCAAATGAGCCACACATTAAACTGCGTCTGAAAGACTAATGATAAATAACCGGCGAGTCTTAACATTTCCTCTTGGCATGGCTACCAAGAGGCCTTTTACACGCTCCTGTGCCACTGGGCTTTAAGTGATGGTGCACCACGCTTTCTGACAACTGTTCTTCCTGGGCCCGTTCTGTGGCAGGCACTGTGCTGGGTTCTGGACATAATTTTACTTCATTTGAGCAGCAAAGGCCTTAGACCCCAGGCGGTGTGATGGACAGAGTCTAACCTGCAAGGCTTTCATTTAGATGCACACTTCTTGGCTGAATCGTGTGAGACATTTAAACTCTGAACCTTAGTTTCACCTCTCAGGTCCAGAGTGATGGAATATGAAATGTGAGAAGCCCGCAGAGGCGGCTTGGGATGGGTCTTACCCACGAGAAAGAAAGAGGTGGTACTGTAAGTGTGGTGGGAAAGCACCTTACACTTTGCAGTTTGAAGCTGGATGTTGGCGTGATCGGAACCACGTTTTGGAACGATCTCCTGGCCGCTGTCGAGCGAGCGCTCCGTGAGCAGGCTGGGCGAAGCTCTCAGCCCTGAAAACAGCCCCAAGTCTTGCATCCCCAGCCTGGACCTACGCTTCTAAGTCACCTGTCTTCTTGACACATCTTCTCAGTGTCAAAGTGGCATCTCTGACTTAATATGAGCAGAGCAGGTTTTGAATTTTCACGCAGCCCCTCTCTCAGAAAATAGTGTCACTCTCTACCCACTGGCTCGAGTTAAAAATTTAGGTGCCATCCTTGTGCTCCCCCTTTTCCTTCACCCCTCCCCCGCCATGCAACCCACCACTAAACGCTACAGACTTTCCCAACGAGGATCTCCAGTAGCTGCAGCCCAGTGTAAGCCACAAGCATCCTCTGCTCTTGTTCTCGCTGGCCTTCTAGCTGGCCTTCTGCTCCCCATCTGTTGGCCTCGGAGTGACATTTAAAAATCTGGGTGTGATCATGTCCCTCTTCACATAGAGTGTGAAATTCTCCGTCATCTTCCCTTTGCTCTTCAGGGTAAATTTCTTACCCTGTGAGGCCCCGCGCGGTGGGCTCCTGTCTCTCGCCCATTTGCTGTTTGTTCGCCAGGCCCAGCCACGCGACGTCACCTCCTTTTCTTAACTACATTAAGCTCCTTCTGGTCTCTGGGCCTTTGTGCTTCTGTGCCCTCCGCTGGGAACACCCACCCCGCAGCTCCTGGCACGGTGTCAGCTTCTCATTCTTCGGTTCAGAGAGCAGAAGGCCCTCATTGTGGCTTATTTGCCCCTTTTTACTTTCTTCAGTGAGCTTACCACAGTCTTATATTTCGTTACTTGTCGCAGCACGTAGGCCCTAAAGTGCAGCCCGTGATCCCCACCTGTGGGTATACATGCCCTCCTCTTGGATGTGGGTGGGACCTGTGATTGCTTCCAACTCAGAGAATATGGCAAAATTGACCGGATGTACATGATTATGCACACATGTCCATGTATTACGTTACCAGAATGTAAGGCAAGTCTTGCTAAGAGACCCTCTCTCTTGGTGGTCTTAGAGAAGCAGGCAGACACATGCGCTGCCATAGGAGGGCGTGAGGGCCTCAGTCACATCGCCTGCAAGAAACTGGATGCTGCCAACGACCATGTGAGCTGGGATGCGGACCCTTCCCCAGCCGAGTTAGGACCCCTAACACACACAAACTGCGAGAAAAATAGATGTGTTCTTTTAAGTCCATAGTTTGTGGTGACTTGTTATGTAACGACAGAGAACCGGTACCCTTGTTAAGTGACTCGTGCGTTAGAAAGTGACCTTCGGGAGGCCCGGGACCTATTCATTCTTCGTTGCTGAAGCCTCAGAACCCAGCTGGACACATAATAGCAGACACTGGTGTGAAGGAAACAAGCATTCAATAATCATCGACTTGTAATATTAATACCCCGTGGACTGGCAGGAATACACAGTCCTTGTTCTCTAGGAGAGGCGAAGCCAACCTGAGTGACAGGTGTGGCTGGTTGTCATGGGGAATGCCCATGTGGGGAGGGCCTGCGTGAAGGAGCAGTTCACACCGAGAACAGCAGTGCTCCGAGCTGAAGGGAGAGAGGTGCCTGATGACATCACGGGGGCCCCTGGCCCAGCAGGGCCCGAAGGTCTACCCTCTGGCTTTTTTAGTTGAGTGAAATGAATCCCTCCTCCTCAGCCCCCATTTTTTAAGGCACTGTGAGTGGAATGTATATCACTGGCAACTAAAAAGCCTTATCACCCAAGATCTGCCATGAATCCACAGAGAAGGAATAAGCTGGTCTGATGTCCAGACAGGAAGGGAATAAAGCATAAAGAAAAACTGCTCATCTGAATAAATATTTATTGAATAAGATGCCACAGCAAATAAACCACTAAAGCAGAAATCCCATAGGATTTTAAATTTTTCTGTAGTCCTTTAGCGTTTTCATAGGACTGTTTAAAGGCTTAACGTGGGAAGTTCTATAAAATAATACAAAAGTATCGAGTGCAAATATTTAGAAAAGTAACAGCACTTAACAGTACTCAAGGGTGGAAGCTATACCTTCCCCACTTTTTCAAAATGCTTTTGGCCATTAAATTAAGTTTGGACTCTATTTTCCAACTTTGTCTAAGAGGCCATTATTACAAAATGTTGCTGTCCTGATAAACAGCTAGTAAGGCAGAAGAACGTGTTCTGTTTTGGGTTCCTGCCTCCTCCCCCCACCTCACTCCTACCTCTTGTTTCAAATGAGTGAATAAACAGTTCCTCTCATGTCTTAAAAAAAAGAAAAAAGAAAAGAAAAAAGAAAAAAAAAATCTACAATTGTCCCAAACTATGCCCTCGGGCACAAGATCTGAGCCTTTAGGGTCAAGTGGGTAGGCTGCAGGGCTCAGGATCCTGCCAAGGTCAAGTCTGCATCACTGGGGAGAAGCAGGTGAGAGGTGGGAGGAGCCACTGAGCCATCACGGTTCTCTGCTGATTGTCCACGTGAGGGCAGGCCAGCCGACAGAACCGACACGGGAGCAACGAGATGTCCAGCGCGGCTGCCGCAGGATCCCATGACGAGTGAGAAAGCCAGGGGGCACGTCCAGGGAGTGCTGGACCACCCAGCCTCCCAGAATCCCAAGGGGTGTGTACGATCCAACAGCCTTCCAGAGGTGGCTGGGAAAAAGCTCTGGTTCCGTTGGGTCGGTCATTCCTGGCAGCGCCCCACTGAGGCTGTGGGCTTCGTAGCCAGCTGGCAGTCGCCACTGGGGTTTGGCGTCAGTGGTCTGTTTGGTAACAAGAAGAGATGGTTAGCTCGAGGGCCTCTTCAAAGAGCGATGCTGAGAGCATACATAGCTGAATACATGACATTCTTTGATGGTTTCTTTTTAGCTGCTTCTTGTAACCACACCAGATTTGGGGCTATTCTGCTTTTACACAGTAGGAAACTGAGGGCACACAGGTTAAAATGACTGAACTGGGGAGTAGGGATTATGGCCCCCCTTCCCCGTTCTAATGTGGTTATTGTGTTTTCCCCAATTATTGTCTGTGTCCTCACAACGATCCACTGAGAAAGGTAGAGCAAGGAGTAGCCCTACTTTACCAATGAAAGAAAACAGAGGAGTTAAATAGCTTGTTCAAGATCACACAGCTAAAACATGGCAGAGCTGGGATTCGGACCCTGGTCTTCAGACTCCAATAAACGGGGTGTTTCTTAACAAACTCACCAGAGGGAAAGGGACAGTCTGGTCTTTTTTAGTGTCTGTGATGGTAGGTTTCAGGGGAAGTGGGACGGACGTAGTGCTGTTGATATTAACCGAATCTTAGAATAACTTGTCTCAGAATTTCAAACAGCTTTGCCAGCACCGACGCCCACCGTCACGCACCAGAGCTTGGCTGACTGATAGTCATTTCCAGGGTTAATACTACAGAAGCTGAGAAAGCCAAGTAGTCCATCCGCCAACCCTCCTTCCAGCTGAGGGTGGCCGTCTGACAAGATTCTAGCCAAGGAAGTTGGTTGGGGGAGGATGGGGAGAGGTCCAAAAATTGATGAAGGGCCAGGCTCAACTGGGGAAGGAAGGCTCATTTTTTTCCTCCCTTCATCCTGCCTTGAAGGTACTTGCTGTAGCCAGAGCCATAGCAGCTTCATTGTGGCCATGAGGTCACACACCAATGAGTTAGAGATGGCAACGCAGAAAGGCAGGAGGTGCCTGGTACGTTGATGACACCACGGGGTGACTGCACAAGCCCTGGGCGCTCTCCATCTTTATGTTATGCAATAAAAGTAAACTCCTATTTGTGTAAACTAGTTACCTGCTTAGGTTCGCACTACTTGCCACCCAAAGCGTTTCCTACCTGATGACAACTAAGAGGGAAACCTTACCTGGTCCTTAGTACAGACGTGAGGAGGCTAGGCCCGCTCTGGTTGCTTCGGGAGACTGAGTGTGATGGAAAGTAAGTGATGTGGTGGCTTTAGGGACACCGGCTGCCCTGGCTCCCCACCTGCCAGGGGAGGTCTCGCTGACTCCCTTACAAAGCGACACGCTTTTTCCTTCTCAGGGGCTAGCTGATTTACGCAGGAGGCAGGTCAACGCCTTTCTTCAAAAGACTGGTCAGTTTTCATAAGGACATCTTACAGTTTTGTTTCCTTTTTTTTCTTTTTCTAACAATTTTAGTTGTGTTATCTTTTGTCTTAGGGTCAAAATCCCATTTGCATCGTGGAATAAAGTTGTTCTTCTCTTCTCCCACACCGATGCTTTGGGTCATTTAACAAGAGAATTTTCTGTTTCTTGAGTGTAGAAGAATTCACTAATGCAGGGGTTTCAGGTGACAACTGTCTTCCTAATAATACAACATACCACGTGCCTGTCTCACTCGCATCCCCTCACAAAGGAACGGTGGAGTTTTTCACGGTATATTTGGAAGATGGGCATCACTCAATGAACTGATATTCTCCAAAAGACCAGTACATGAAGTTACAAAATCATGCACGGTAAAAAAAAAAAAAAAAAAACACCACAGGATTTTTTTAAATGTTTTTTTCTTCCAAAATCTATTAAAGTGCCAGATAGACCAGTGGATTTTAATATAACAAAGTAGAGCATGTCCTTGAACAACGCCGTTTTTTTTAACACTGACAAGATGCTGTAGGAACTTGACACTTGTTTATATCAATTACCTATGGTAAAATTGGCTTCGTACGTCATTTTGCTTAAAGTCTTAGAACCTAGCAATGACTTTAAGTGAGGACGCACCATACAAAAAGTTCACATTTCGATTAACCTTTAAGAAACTACCCCTTACTGAGTTTTGGTGTTCTATCAAAGAACATCCCTAGTCATCTGAAAAAGCTTTTCCTCCCTTTTCCAGCCACCATTTGTGAGGCTGGGTATTCTAGTTCCAGCACTTCAACCATAGTAACACATCACAGTGCAATGAAGGCAGATGCACAAACCCAGCCGATTCCTGCTAAGGTTGACGTGAAAGCTGTCTGCAAAATGCGAAGCACGGATGCTTGCATGAAAATGTTATTTATATTAACAGATAATATTGTTCTTTTTAAATGAGTAAATATTTTTCCAGTTGGTGTTATAATTTCCATTAGAGTAATCATCAGTACATTGAAACCACATAGACAAAACCTTTTGGAAGACTCAATCATTTTTAAGATGGTCAAACGGGACCTGAGGACAAATAGCTTGAAAACTCTGCCCTACTTAAAACAATGGGTCCAAGTGCCTTGTTGGATAAGGATAAGGAGACCAAGGGCAAATCCTGAGTATCTCTTTCGACCTCTTCATGTATAAATAGGTGGCTTTCCTATTTTGCTATTTCTTGTGACATAGCAGAACAGGCTTCAGAGGCAGGGAGGGATTTTGGCTCGGAAGCATCAGCCTCAATAAGCCAAACAGACCAACATTTCTCTTTTTATCTCCTTTAGGACCGAGAGTGATCAAAGCAATTTACCAGAAGTTGAATGTGGCTCCAGGAATATCAACTAAGCAATCCTATGAGACCCACACCTGAGAGATTTTAAATTATACTAATTTCACATTTTATTTTCCAATATATGATAAACCCTTTGGGAAGAAATTTAAGGGCTATGCTGTAGAAAAGCAAAATTCAGGATATTGGTTCTTTTAGAGCAAGGGTTGGAGCCCGTGGCCCTCGGGCCAAATCTAGCATACTGTCTATTTTTGTAAATAAAGTTTTATTAGAACACAGCGACACTCTTGCTTGCTTACTGTCTATGCTGTTTTTGAGTGGCTGCAACAGAGACTTCATGAGCTGCAAAGTCTAAAATAGCTACTTTCTGACCCCTTACAGAAATTGTTTGCTGATGCCTGTTGTAGAGTCACTTGGCATCTTGGTTCAGAGGCTTTGGAATTAACTGGTCTGGATTTCAGTCCCTTCCCTGCGACTTGGCCTCATTTTCCCTGTCACAGCATGGGGCTAGGACCTGCCCCACAGGATGGCTGTGACGATCATGGGGGCTAAGGCCTGGAAAGTTCCTAACAGAGTCCCTGGCACAGAGCAAGAGCTTAATGGGTATTAGCCACCACCGTCAATTCAGCAAGAGCTTAAATGAAGCACAATGGAGTCACATCCCACTTGGGAATCAGATTCTAACATCAACAAGGACAAAACGACAAAAATCATCTCTGAAAATCCCTTAGGATGGTGGCCCATTATACACAAACATACTGTCTCCCAGTAAGGTCACCACAGTGCTGGTTTTCCCTTGAGCATTTAAATAGATCACTATTCCTTCCGTCAAGGCCCCAGACGAAGTAGCTGACATTCAGGAGCCATAATGTAGGAACGAAATTCATATACTCGAACACAAGGTGTACACTCAGTGGTTAGACACGCACACTCTGAAGAGCAGAGGGGATCAGAACAGACAGTGGGACAGCAGAGTCACAGCTCCAGATTCACAGAAAAACACCTTGACTTTTTGTAAATTCATGGACATGTTTTTAAAGGACTCAATCAATAATAACTACCCCGTAGAGTTGCCACGGCAACAAAATGAGTTGTCACATGTGTGCTGGATGATGACAGCAGCGGAACTCCATTATAAATTCCCATTTGATGTGTGACGTGTATGGGGAACTGTGTGAACACCTGCCTCTTACAATTTTACTTCTAGACACCGACTGAGGTTAGGGCATTATTTATAAAAATCCCCCGAATGGAAAAGATTAAATTGTGACATTGATATGTATTTACCTGGGAGAAAACCAGTAGTTGACAAGGCTGGAGACCACCACGTAGGACACTATGATTGTCCCTGATATGGCGAGCGACACGAAGCCCAAACCACAGAGGACACAAAGCAGTGAGAGGCCGCCCACGAAGATGACCAGTCCTAGAAGAGAATGTGGTTAGGGTAAGCATTCTAAGAAGAGGTGCCAGACCCAGAGCCACTGTGTTTAAAACGACAGTCAAACTCAGATTTTTAAAGCAAGTAGATTTCCCATAAAAATCCAGATTTCTAGCATCACTTAAAAAGGAGCTCTAAGCACCTGAGTGGGCATCACTGCATGGTGGCAACTGGCCGACCCTTCCGGTTCCTTGAGACCCACTGTTCCCAAATGTACAGCCACACACTGCCTAACGACATGCTGTCGTTTTGGTCAACGACAGGCCACATGTACAGTGTTTATAAAGCCTACAGCCGTGCACGGCCATGTCCCAGGCCATCGCTTCCACTCACCACTCACTCACTGACTCACCTGGAGCAACTTCCGGTCCTGCAAGCTCCATTCATGGCAAGTGTCCTATACAAGGGTGCCACCTACAGTACTGTACGTACATGCTGTACAGGCTTGAGCCGAGGAGCACCAGGCTCTGCCATCCAGCCCAAGTGTGCGGTGGACCACACACCTAGGTTTGTGTGAGTTACTCTGCGACGTTCGCACAGTGATGAAATCGCCTAATGGCTCATTTTTCCTGGTGTATCCCTGTCATTAAGCAGCACATGACTGCCTTGAGCTTGGAGCACATGGCTCATTTTTGTTCCTTTTTGGCCCACAGGTGTTTGAGTTTGAGACCCCTTCATCCTCAAGGTCAGGGATGGGCTCCCGGTGGAATCCTCTAGCAGGAGGCAGCCGAGGCAAGGATAGGGGAGGAAAATCACCTCCAATGTTTCAAGCTGTCTAATGAATGCTAGAATCTATAAAGCATTCACAGAAAGGCTCTGCGGGCTAAATAAAGTAAAATCTAAATGTAGGTTTTGATTACGTACTTTACAACGGATAGCCTGGCAACTACCACACATTAATCATAAGGTGCGATTGGTCCGTTTACCCACCATGAGTACTAATGAATTACCGTCGAATAAGTGCAGAGAAAATACATTTTTCATAATGTGGGGTCTGTGAGGGAAAAAGAGCAAAAGCTACAATGGAGAGAGCATGGACTTCCACAGTGGACAAGTCCGAGTTTGAGCCTGGTTAAGTGATCACGGTGTGACTGGGCCGCCTGGAGTTTTATTTAACTCCTCTGTAGAAAGGAGTGTTGACATGGCAATGAAATGACTTATCGTGTGTGTGATGGGCTGTGGTCGTTTTTGGCTGCCCAGTCCTTTCTCTGCCTCCCTTGTAACAAAATCTCACTCCCCAGCATAGAACTAATAACACAGCAAATGATGCATGGCAGACACCCTTCCCCTTGCCTTGGGAGTGAACAAATAGCCCAGGACAGGGGGTCAGCCACAGTGATCGTTTCAGGGATGGACCCTGAAAAGGAAGGAAATTCTAGAATATAAATGGATGTGCTGCCTTTTCATAAAGATTTACAAAATCTCAGATCAGTGTTTTTCAAAATGTGACCAATAACCACAGTATTAGAATCAGATGCATTAGGGAGGCTTGTTAAAAATTCAGATTTCTGGACCCTACTGCAGACTTCATCTCTGGATGAGGGCTGGAAGTCCGCATTGTCAAAAAGCAAATTTAAGACTTATGCACACTCAAGTTCGAGAACCACCTCTCTACAGGCTTTGCACAAGCTGTTCCTGCTGTCTAGAGAGACCATCCTTGCCCAAAGGAAACCAAGACGTTACAGCACATCTCAGAGTCCCGTCTTCCGTGAAGCTCCACGATGCCACCAAAACATAGGGGCCCCCACCTTTCTCTCTAAATTCACTTTTGTTACTTTTGTTACTCATTCTTTCATCCATCTATCCATCAATATCTACTGGACAACCACTCTGCCAGGCTGCATTTGGCCCATCTGCCTACCATGCCCACCTTCTCTTTCAAGGGTAAATGGGCAGGGGAACAATGCTGAATGCCCTTAGCTCTGGGAAGCCATAGAATGGACCAAAAGTGATTGCTTGACTCGATGACAACCATCTCTTTGGTCAGTATCTCGTGGTTCGTGATCTGACTTAAAGGCAAACTGAGCCAATCAGATGTGCTTTCTCAGTAATTTTAACTTAGCAACACAGGGAGAAGTTGACAGTCGGCAGTGGGACTTCAGGAGGAAGGGTGGGAAAGGGGGAACCTTAGTACCTAACAAAGGCCCTGGCATACAATAGGTGCTCAATAACTAGCTGCGGAGTGAATGGCCTCTCCATTTAATGATAATAGTTAGCATTCATGGAGACCTATTCTGTGCCGTGGATTGTGCTAAATACTTTCTGGAACTGTAAGCTTCGATCCTTACAATAACCCTTTGAGACAATATTATTATATCCCCATTTTACATCATAACTTGTCCAAAATTGCACCGGTGGAGTCCACGTTTTAACTATTCTGACAAGCTGCCTTGGTTGACGTGATTTTGACAATAGGGACCTTTGACAAGAGTGGCAGATGCCCAACAAATAATGTCCTCCCGATTGAGTCATTTTCTAATGGGGCGAATAACTGAGCAGGATACCTTCTAGTAAAATGACTCCCACAAAAGCAGCCAGGGAGGTAAGCACCACGAGGAGCAGGAAGAACCCAACAGGAACAGCCGACACTGCAATAAACACCAGCAAGGTGAGGGCCACGAAAGGATGCCTGTCCAGGTACTGACCCATTGGAGACTTCAGAAAGGCAACCATCTGCAAGCAGAGAAGAAAGGGCCAGGGTTGAATGCCACGTCTGCATGCCACGTTGACAGATCCGCCTGAGCTGTAGGAAGCGTAACCAGAGATTGTAAAGCTGGAAGGCTCCTGAGTGAGAAGTCGACGCAATAACAATCCTCCCAAGACACAAGTCACCCCAGTGATGACTTAAGGCAGCAGTGGACAGATGGCAAGTCTGAGGGCCCCAGCCAACCTCAAGTCTGGTGGAAGGAGGGAAGACCCAGCCACGGCTCTGCCGCTCAACGCACCCCCTCTCAGAAGGCACCCCCAGCAGCTGTGTGCACCCATGAACTGTATGGACAATGCGCCTACTTCACAGAGGCACAGAGAGGTCAGCTACTAGCTACTCGGCTTCCCCTGGGAGCCTGTTAGAAATGCAGGATCTCAGGCCCTGCCCAGACCTGCTGAATCAGATTCTCCTTTTAAATGAGATCCCCATATGATCTCTCTGCAGGTTGAAGTTGAGAAGCTGTAGACTCGATGACTCTAGAGTCATATAGCTTCCAAGTGGCAAAATATAGTCATTCAAAGCTAAATATAGTCATCCAAATGTCAAATGCTTTCAAAGATTGCCACCTCATTAGGAAAAAATGCTTTTATGTCATCAAGCTGGATGCCACAGATAGGCCAGCGCCTGACGACTCCTGTAAACTTAAGCCACATTAATAAATGGTTATCTTTCTTCACCAGGTAAAAGGATTTTGGGGTCTGGGTCAGTGGAAGAAGGCTGCTTTAATGCAGAGCTGGCCCTGCATTAAAGCAGGGGACCCCACAAAGATTGGCTTCCCCCCTCTTCTTATGCCACTCTCTCCTCAGCAATGACATGCTAGTTCCTGTTCCCTTGAAAAGTTTCATCATTCTAGAAATTTCTCCATCAAAACTGGTCCTTCCTGTGTCTCATTCCTTAGCGCCTTGTAGGCCAACTACTGAAATGAAGACATAATTGAAGCTATAGCAATCTCAGATGCCACTGCCCAAAACACATGTGCCTCCTAAAAATAGCTGTTCACCCAAATGATTCAAATGGTGGGAGTGTGGAGGGCAAGTTGGAAGGCAGGAGGGTTTTATAGTTCAAGTTAACGGTGACCAAAGCACAGGGCTCACCCTGCTGAGTTAGAAAAGCCTGCACCAAGGAGTCCCAGCCTTTGGTTTTGGGGCTTCAGCATCACCTCCTGATAACTCTTGAGGCATGACAAATGACATAGCTTAACAGGCTACAAAATGGCATAATGCCCACTGGCTACACTGACTCCAGCTACTCCATTCTGACAAAAACTACCAGAGATGTGGCTACTCAGCTTCTCCAGCCAGAGGGGACAGTACCAGGAATCGCCTCTGGGCTAGGACTGCCCAGCTCTGATACTCGAGGACCAGAACCCAGTGAGATTCTCCTGTTAGGGTGGCTGAAGGTGAGAGAGGCAAGGGACCACGAGAGGACCACAGGAGTGGGGCAGGCCCCTCGAGCTGTCTCAGGTCTGGATTGCTTAGGGGCTGTAGTCCACACGTACCCTTAGTAAACACCCCCCAGGGTGATCTGTAATCTCTCATCCTTATAATCAGGAGACCCAGTAACCACAGTGAGGAGGAACAGATGAGGCTAGAACACCAGGATGCCAGCCCTGAGAGCTGTACCAGGACTGTCCAGCACAGTGGCCACATGTAGCCACTGAGCCCTTGAAAGGGGGCTTATGTGATAAATGAACTGAATTTGTAATTTAAATTTAAAAACTGAAATTTGATTTAGTCATTGGAAAATTTTTACATTGCAAGTAAGTTGGGTATGTTTCAAATAAGTTTTTCAACTGTAAATTTTATGAAATCTGAATAGAGATCAAGTATTTCCAATGAAAAGTTAGTATCTGAATTGAGTGCTCTAAGTATATAAAAAAAGGATGTAAAAAAATTAATGATTATTCAATGTTAATCACATGTTATGCTTTTATGTCATCAAGCTGGATGCCACAGATAGGCCAGCGCCTGACGACTCCTGTAAACTTAAGCCACATTAATAAATGGTTATCTTTCTTCACCAGGTAAAAGGATTTTGGGGTCTGGGTCAGTGGAAGAAGGCTGCTTTAATGCAGAGCTGGCCCTAGGGGACCCCACAAAGATTGGCTTCCCCCCTCTTCTTATGCCACTCTCTCCTCAGCAATGACATGCTAGTTCCTGTTCCCTTGAAAAGTTTCATCATTCTAGAAATTTCTCCATCAAAACTGGTCCTTCCTGTGTCTCATTCCTTAGCGCCTTGTAGGCCAACTACTGAAATGAAGACATAATTGAAGCTATAGCAATCTCAGATGCCACTGCCCAAAACACATGTGCCTCCTAAAAATAGCTGTTCACCCAAATGATTCAAATGGTGGGAGTGTGGAGGGCAAGTTGGAAGGCAGGAGGGTTTTATAGTTCAAGTTAACGGTGACCAAAGCACAGGGCTCACCCTGCTGAGTTAGAAAAGCCTGCACCAAGGAGTCCCAGCCTTTGGTTTTGGGGCTTCAGCATCACCTCCTGATAACTCTTGAGGCATGACAAATGACATAGCTTAACAGGCTACAAAATGGCATAATGCCCACTGGCTACACTGACTCCAGCTACTCCATTCTGACAAAAACTACCAGAGATGTGGCTACTCAGCTTCTCCAGCCAGAGGGGACAGTACCAGGAATCGCCTCTGGGCTAGGACTGCCCAGCTCTGATACTCGAGGACCAGAACCCAGTGAGATTCTCCTGTTAGGGTGGCTGAAGGTGAGAGAGGCAAGGGACCACGAGAGGACCACAGGAGTGGGGCAGGCCCCTCGAGCTGTCTCAGGTCTGGATTGCTTAGGGGCTGTAGTCCACACGTACCCTTAGTAAACACCCCCCAGGGTGATCTGTAATCTCTCATCCTTATAATCAGGAGACCCAGTAACCACAGTGAGGAGGAACAGATGAGGCTAGAACACCAGGATGCCAGCCCTGAGAGCTGTACCAGGACTGTCCAGCACAGTGGCCACATGTAGCCACTGAGCCCTTGAAAGGGGGCTTATGTGATAAATGAACTGAATTTGTAATTTAAATTTAAAAACTGAAATTTGATTTAGTCATTGGAAAATTTTTACATTGCAAGTAAGTTGGGTATGTTTCAAATAAGTTTTTCAACTGTAAATTTTATGAAATCTGAATAGAGATCAAGTATTTCCAATGAAAAGTTAGTATCTGAATTGAGTGCTCTAAGTATATAAAAAAAGGATGTAAAAAAATTAATGATTATTCAATGTTAATCACATGTTGAAAATATAATGTTTCGGATATATTGGGCTATATAAAACATTGTTAAAATTAATTTGACCTGTTTCTTGTTATGCTTTTTAATGTGACTAATAGAAAATTTTAAATAATATACATGGGTCAGATAGTATTTTCATTGGAAAGTAAGAAAACAGAAAGAAAAAAATGGGAAGCAAACTGCTGGCATTTGAGCAGGACTGTGACGTAGTCCAAAAAATAATTTAAGAAAAAAAAATTAAAATCATTTCTTCCATTAGAAAAGTAAATTAAAAAAAGAAGAAAAGAAAAATGAGCCTGGCAGTCATGTGCAAGAGGCAGTTAGGAAGATTTGCAAGAAATCGGGCAAGCAATACTGATGGCCACAGAGGGAAGAGGAAGAGGAAACGTAGTATGAAAGCGGAATGACAAAGAAACGGCGACAGGACTTGGGGACAGTTTGGCATGGGGATCTGAGAGTGAGGGGAAAGGCGGGACTGCTCTTTCTAGTCCTGAAAGAATCTACTTTTCTCTTGGCCTCTTTCTGAGGCTGGGCCCTACAACCAGGGAACAGAAAGTCACTCAGATATGCAGGGAGCATTTTACATCGTAGACAGCTGAGCCCAGCAGTCGTCTTCCCTCAGGAAGAAGGGCCGCCCCTGCTCGTGCCAGTCTGCCACAGAAGGGGAAGACGAGATTCAGTGACGCTCGATAATAATAACAGAGAACATTCGTTAAACGCTCAGGTGCCGAGCACTGCTGTAGGTGCTCTCAGTGTCATTTCCTTGTTTCTTTCTCCCTACGATGCTGCGCGGCAGGTAAGGAGGAGCAGCTTAACGTTCTTTAAATCTAGGGGTTAGAACATAGCAATTAACTTTTCATTCTCATGGCAACAGAGGGGGACGCGGTGGGAGGATGGAAAGTGGGAAGACTTGCTATTCAGTAACACACGCTGTAATTTTCCATCCCCATCCTAGAAGCCGGAACAGGTTATCCAACCCAGATTTTATAGGCTGGGTGCTGCGCTGAGGAGCCCAGTAATGCCAGGCTGGGACAGACTGGCACCATCGCATGCTAGGCTCTGTGCTAAAGACTTCTCAAACAGCATCTCTGGTCATCCTCACAGCAAACCTTTAGGCCAGCATTGCCTATTTTAGAGGACATGGAGATTCAATGACCCTAAGCGACTTGCCCTAGGTCAGATCAGGGTATTTTAAAATGCACACATTCCAGGGTAGGGACAAAGGGCCAGTATTTAAGATTCTTGCTCTTAGGAACTGGGCACTTCCAGACCAGGCCCCTTAGAGGGCTTCAGCTGGGAGACAAGGGAGACACGGGGAGCTGAAGGTGCCAGACTGAACAATCACGTCTGCCCAGGTGAACAGAAGAGCCAAGGAGGAGGCCAGGCTGCAGAGGAGGAGGATGCGGCAGGTGCAGAAGACAAAACTAGAGAAGCAACATGGCCCCAAACATGGCGGGGAGGGAGAGTCGCCTCTGACTCCTGTGACGGGTTCTGACCCCCAAGGCTCTGCCCCAGTTCACTTCCTGCCCTTGGCTTCTAAGAAAGTCTTACATTTCCCCAAATGCCTGCAGGTCCCACCCACGGGTTAATCTGCTTAAGCTGTTTTGAGCAGATTTCTGACTCTCTCCATTTAAAAGTAAGACAATTAAAATTTGAGGAGGCATTCCAGAGACTTCCTAAAAGAGACAATGGAGTTGTTACACAAACACTCCATCTGGAAGCCATCTAGTCATATCTAGAGTTCAAGGGACATATTAACCTCTCAGAGAAGGTTTATAATTACTTGGGGAAAAGAAATCATTTAAATATTCCAGAAACAATGGGATAGCTGTGTAAATTTTGGTGTGTCAATATGATAGAAGTTTCTACTACCAGTAAAAGCAATTGTTCTGAAGACCCATGCTTCAATATGGAAAACATCAATGTACAATAGCAAGCAAAAATAAAAACACAGAACTATATCTGTCATGATTATAATAACATTTGTAAAAATTACATAGTGAAGGGGCCTAATAATCATAATGATAATGATAATCACCATTGCTAGATCTGTTAGTGATTCACTTTCCTTTTTCCTCTAATATGACTGTATTGAGTTAATATAATTATTCATTCAATTAATACAACAAAATCTTTTTAAAACACTATTCTTCCTCAGAACTATCTGAAGAACATCAAGGCTTAGCCAGCTGATAACCTGTCCCATCATTCCGAGAGTTGGCTGGCCTGATAGTTATCTAGCCCAAATGTATTCTAATGACCAAGGCTGAGGACCTAAGATCAAGGGCAGAGTTCATATGCTTTAAATGCCCGCCTCAGAAGGTGGACGTGACTATTAAATAAGACACACCAAATACCTGACATAGTGTTTGGCACATAGTAAGTGCTCAGTCGAGGTTAGTCAGTCATTCCCCATGAATTGCGGATTTCATAGTTGTGAATTTGCTTACTCACTAAAATTGATTTGTAACCCCCAAATCAATACTTGTGGTACTTTTGCAAACATGCACAAAGCAGCAAAAAGTTTGAGTTACCTGACACACACATTCCCAGGTGAGGTCCAACTAGGTGCCACTCCACCTTCTTGTTTCGGCTATCTTAACAATGGTCCTTTTCATGGTCTATTTAGTGCCACCTTTTTTTGTTCTTCACATTTTAATGTTTTTTGTTGGTAATTTCACCATTTAAAATGGCACCCATGTACAGAAGTAGCATCTAGTGTTCCTGGGTGTAAGAAGGCAGTGGTGTGCCTTACAGAGAAAATAAAACGCGTTCAGTGAGCTTTGTTCAGGCGAGTTATGGTGCAGCTGGCCATAGGGTCAATGTTAATGAATCGACCATATGCATTCAATACAGTGTCTTTAAACAGAAATGTACATAAACCAGCTTATGTGTTAATTATTGATGAAAATGCTGTAACCAGAAGTTTGCCAGAACCTAATCCTGCATTTCCCCTAGGAGCAACAGTTCAGCACTTGCGAATTCAGTGTTTGAGGTGACTTTATGGGACACAATGTATAATGAGAATGAACTGTAGAGGTGGATGAGCATGAGGGCCTTTCTTACTGAGCTAACTTGTACAACAAGTCTCAGCCTGCTGACTAGAAAGTTACTTGTCGAATTTAAAAATAGCTTGCTAAATCCACAAAGAGTACCAGAAGTATTTTGGGATAAGTCCAGAAGAGATCTCCAATGGAGTATATTACTCTAGATTGCACAGTGATATCTCTTCAAATAGACTCTAGTGGAACTGTGCTATCTGATACAAAAAACAGATTACAAAACAGTTTATTTTGTTACATATACATGTATATTTTTATGAGTAGAAAAAAGTCTAGAAGGATATACAAGAAAATGTTAATAGTATTATATCTGAGAGTTGTTATTTTTTCCCTGAAAAGCATACAGGAGAGAGCAATAAAGGTAAATATGCAAGAAAGTGAAACATACTATCTGAAGTCCCATTGCCATTGAATGGCTACTGAACACCTGAAAAGTGGCTAGTTCAAAGTGAAATGCGCTGTGTAAAATACATACTGGTTTTGAAGACTCGGTACAGAAAAAAAAAAAAGTGTAAAGCATCTCAATAACTTTTTCCATCAATAATTTTTTATAATGATTACATGTTGAAATGGTAATATTTTGGATATATCAGGTTAAGTAAAATACATCACTAAAATTAATTTCACCTGCTTCTTTTTAAATGTGGCTACCAGAAAACTTTAAATCACACATGTGGCTCATGTCATATTTCTAGTGGAACACCGAACACTAATCTTAAAGTAGACTTTGGCCCCCTCATTTTCAGGGTAACAGAGAAGTCAAAATGAACAACAAAACTGAAAAGCTATGATATCTGTGACATAGACTGAGAGTCACCTCTATATCCAGCTAAAGAGTTGCATTTGCCACAAGTGGTGGTCATGTGACTGAATTTTGGTCTATGAGATGTATTTGGATGTATTGTATGTGTGACTTCCAGGAAGTCTCCTGAAATTCAGGGTGGCTTGTAAGTCTTTCTTCCCCTTCTCCTCTATTCTATTGCCTGGAATATGGATATAATGGCAGATGCTCTAGCAGCCATCTTGAACAATGAACTTGAAGGTCATAACTTAGACGTGGCTGGGTGGTAAGGCAGAGACTCCTGACCTACCTCCAAATTCTACTTGAGACAGACATAACTTTCTGTGAAAACTAGTGTTACTTTGGGACTTTCCTTTATATGTACTGATTGGAAACTGACCTTCGAGTTATTCTGGATGGATTCTATCAGCAAAGACAGCTTTCTCTGCAATTCCTCGAAGTCCTTTGAGGTACTCGGGGTTTCCTCTTTGGCCATCCTGCAATCCACTTCAATCTCTTAGGGCTTAATTCTTCTACCACTAAGCTCTCCAGTGCAGGGAGCAGTCGAATCTCTCATGTCATCCCGTCTCTTGCTGTCACTGGAAGAAACAAAAAGTTTCTTAAAGCATTAGTAGTCTTACCCAAACGGCCCAACGAGAGCCTTTACACACTGTCTTTACACACTGATGATGGGTGCACAGAGAGTGGGTAACTTGACAGTATCTACCAAAATTTCAAATTGCACACACCTTGATCCAACAATTTCTTTTCCAGGAACTCGAAGGAAATAATCAAACAGGTATATCAAAATGTACCAAAAGGATGTGCAGTGCATCCTTGATTATAATATATAATAAATAACAAATGGTAGTAAGAAGCTAATGGTCTGTCAGTAGAAAACTGGCTAAATAATGATAAATTCATACAATGAAGTACTATATTGTGGATAAAATGATAATGTGGCTATTTAGTGACACGAAAATATGTCCAAGATAAGTGAAAAAAATTATTAAAGAATTATAAAATATTCCATATGGTTACATAAACATATTTATTTTATGTACATGTCCCATAGTAAAAGATCTAGAAGGACATCTAACAAAATATTAATGGTATTACCTCTGAGAACTTGTTTTTTTTTTTTTTGGCTTGACAAAAAACTGAGAAGACTATAGAAAAAAGAAAGAAAGCTGAATATACAATTTCAAGTCCCCCCAAAAGCCTTTTATTTCACCCCCCCCCCAAGCCTTTCTCAGACAGTGATGGTGGCCAATTTCTTTATTTTCTACCCACGCCAAACAAGCTGGCTCCCAAATGCATTGTGCCATAAGTCATTCTCTACTTTCATCTAAGTCTCTGCCCCTTGACAAGTGACGTGCCTGACCGCAGTCCTACTGTGTGACTCAACAACCTGGAATTTCCAGGACTGTCCTGATCTCACATAATTATTTATTTTTTTTATTGAATATCCCACCTACGAATTAAGTGAGTGGGTGGCGCTATTAACACCTCCAGCGTCCAGCACGCACATTAAGGGACATTTTCATCATCTCGGCTGGAGATCCTGGTCTACAGTCCCGCTGGCGAAACAGAAACCCGCTGGACTGGGGAGGACCAAGCCCTCCATCACCATGTTCCCTCTTCGAAGCTGCAGCTGGCACGGAGCTTGACTGTGGGATGTTCCCAGCGCTCAGTTCCCCTAAGCGATCTTGAGCGACGAGCAAGAACAAGCCCAGGTTTCCCGTACTGGTCGGCTCGGGCCTGGGAAACCCAGGGCTACCCGGACCGGTTTGGGGAGCTCGATGCGGGATTTAGTGGCAGGAGCCACAGCTGTCAAATGCACCCAGCGGACCACCAATGCCCAGGCCCCTCCCTCAGTCACTCACCCCTCGGAAGGGTGTCCCCGGGCCCTGAGAAGCCTCCGGAAGAGGAAGGCAGCACCCCATAACCGGCGGCCCGCCGGCTCCGCCCCTCCGGGGGCAAACAGCTACCCCGAACGTTCCGGGGCGCTGTGCGGGGCGCGGGGCGCCTTGGGCCCACCCAGGCCGGCTCCCAGTATTTCGGCCTTGGGAAACGCGGGGGAAGGGCGCCCAGTTTTTCGGAGTCGGAGGGGAGGGGTGGGGGGTGATGCAGGTGGAGAGGGGGCTCAGGAAACAGGCTGAGGAAGCGGCGCTCAGGGGCATCGAGTGCCCTGTCACTAACTCGGGGGACTTGGAGCGCCCCTCTCCTCAGGGATGGGGAGGAGGTCCTCGGTAGGAAGAGGAAGCCGCTGAGGAGGACGGCGCCCGTTTCCATAAACCCTGAGGAGACGGTTTGCAGCCTCTCTTCCCTAAACCGCGGACGGAGGGCCGCAGGCGGGGGACAGCGACTGCCTCCCAAACGCCGCGGCGCGCTCCTCCTCCCGCCCTGCCGCGCGGGGTCTGGCCCGCTCGG